CACTGGCAGCGAGTCGGCAATAAACCACGCTTGTGTATACTTGCAGTGGCCCTACAATCAATGCGCTCATGTGCTGGCGCACAAAATTGCTGACAGCGGCTTAAAAGCTGTCAGTGGATCAGCTCATGTGGCGCCCAGGTCAACAACACAACGTCAGCTGCCAATGGTGGATCAGAAGCACCAGAACCATGATGGCAGGGCAGTTGCTCATATACCGCTGCAGTAACCATCACTACGTGCCGGTACAGGGAAGCGCTAGGCGACTCCAACGTTTGTAGACGTCATCCTCAAATGAATAAACCAGCACATAAACACAGAAATAGAATGGCAATGCACCCCCAAGAGACAGCCGCCATTGCCGCTCTCCTGTATTTCCACCGTCAGCCCAAGCCGCGTAATCATCTCTGTTGTCCAAAGATTGTCGTATTCCAGGCCAATGAACACAACTGACGATTGCTGCTTCGACAAACGCATGTCGCGTCCTTGAACAAATAATTAGGGGCTTGTATGCCTCTAAAAGGCTCGCACTCTATTGTCCATTCGCATAGGTATTGTCAGATATGGCAATATTCCATCGCATGGCATTCATGTACCAGATGCCCTTCGCCACCATGACGAAATCAAACCGCGTGCAAATCATCCAGGTCCAATCACAAGCCGTCTGACCAATTTGGAGTCATCTCAGTGATCAAAAGACATCTCGTTCTGTCCGCACTGTTTGCCATTTGTTGTCATGCTGTCAGAAAGTTGCAATATTCGTTGTCGAACATTCATATAAGAGGGAAGCATTGCTGCCGCGGCTCACTGTAATCGCCGTCTCGATTTGGATGCCAGTACGGAGCTTCAAGGATAGGAAACAAACAACGTGTGGGATTGGTTAATCTGGCTGATCGCGATGGACACAGCGCATTCCCCTGCATGGTACCTTACGCAATGGGTTCCCTGGCCAATCACTGCACGGCATCTTGATGAGCATATCATTTGCACGCAGCGGAGCAGAACCCTTGACGATGGGCAACGCAGCGCCCGTCCACTCATCATCCATCACAACGCAATTGCGACCCCGCATAGACAGGCAGGCAACGACGGTCGACTTCGTACTGCTTCCGTCCAAGTCTCTTCCCGCGAATCTGTTGGTGAATTGTGGCGCGTCGGGTACCTGGTTCGCAGCTGGGCAAAGTGGAGTCGCAGCCACCCTACATTTAGGTAACCGCTTGCTGCCCGCGCTCACGAAGGCGGCTGGGCGCCAATATGAGGTCCGCACATGTTGTCCAAGTCTGTTCTCGTCGGGACGCGGAAGGTCGAGCGAGCAGGCAGAGCCGGCCACAGAGCCGTCGTGGGCGTTGAGCACAAGCGGTGTCCTGGACATCCGTGGGGCTTCTCGCAGGTGAGCGGGCCCATCATTCACATGCCACCAACGTGCCGTCAACTCGGCAACACCAATTCCTTGCACGGTCGCTTCCCCGTCGGGAGCCCATAACGCCAAACCAGGGACTCCGCGAGCTGCTTCACTCTCTCGCGCATCGAGTTAAGTTTCCACGGGGCCGAAAGGCGCTGTGGTGTAGATTGTCGCTGCGCACCAACCACGGCATGGCCCAAATGCTGCACTCGGATGGCGGTGAGCAGTGCAGACAAAGCGCTTCGATCTAAGTTCCTGCGGAGTCGAAAGGTCCTGCGAGTAGATTGTCGCTGCGCGACAAGCACAGGATGGCCAAACGCAGCACTCAACAGGCGGTGCGCAGTGTCCCTGAAGAAAACCCTGCAGCGGTCATCGTCGCCACCCCCATCGATGTGTTTCGCTTTGAGCGCACGCAGAGGGCTCCAGTCGCCACCGGAGGGACCGTGTTGCCGCGTGGCACGCGCGTGTGCGGCTGACTGACGCGCCCACGCACATGAGCACGGTACCTTCTGTTGCTTTCCTCCAAGTCGCTAAAATGGGCAGGCATGTGCTATTGACGTTGCGATGTTGGGGCAGAGGGACGCTCACGGCGAAGGAAACAACGGCCCGCTTTCCATCCCGCACCCCAAGTGATCAATTGACCTGGCATTTAGGATGGATCGCATGGAATCATTCCATCGAATTGCGCACCTCTGGGCACGCCGAACGATGATTGACTTGTTGCATCCTGTCAAGAATGGGAGACCACGGTGCACACGGCGATTTAAGTGTCAATTAGAGCTGTGATACGCTGCTGCCATTGTTTCCAACAAATGACCAAGAGGCATAATATGTTTTCCAATATCCAGAGTTTTCCTTCAAGTCGCTGACAGGTCCAGCATTCCAGTATCCCAATGCAGCAGATTCTGAAACTTCTGCCCATGCTAAACTTCAATATCTGGAGCCTTGAAATGAGCTAAACGACTTTCCTTGCATCAAGTGTTACGTTTCTGACAAATTACAGCCTCAAAAGAACTTTATGGCCCTTTGGCCAGGAAGATGGCTAGAACCAAGGTGCACGGACTTTGTTCTGTGGGTTAGAAGCTCCTAACCCAAAGAGCAAAGGCGCAGTGCATATATCACCGCAGGGTTGCACATCGGCAGCAACCTGCCTTTGCATTGCTTGATAGCGATTGTCGTAGAACGGCCCCAAGGTCTCGACGACGTACACCTTGTCAAAACAAGGGACGTGCTGGCATACATTGTTCCCACACAGTTCAATTCGGTTCAGCACAAAACCACGGGACATTAATTCAGGGGCAGTTAAGATTTGTCCTATTCAATTTTTCTTGCGGGTGAACTCCAACGGTTTCTCAAATTGTGACTCAGACGGCCCATCCTGGTGGCGACACCGCTTTTGCTGATACCTAAAAGCGCTGAGAGAGAAGTTATGCATTTGCCACCATGGATGTCCAGGAACCTTACATTAATGTTCAGATTTAGGCTGAATCTACATTCACGGGACACGCTTATTGCCATCCTGCAGAATCCGCCACCATGGAACGACTCAGCCTCAACATCGCAGGGCCAATTGTCTCGATGCTGCTGGCGTCGCTGGCGTGCCTGGCACAAGCTCACTTTGTGCAGAATGCTACACTGGAGGTCCTGCAGACTGGCAACGAGGGGTTTCTGTTGGGAGGAAACGTGGAGCTGGTGTCCTACATCCAGTACAAGGACTTCCCGGAGACAATGGTGACATCTAGATTAGCAGAGAACACCGAATGGCTTCCTCCCCTGCAAATACACAATGCCTCCATCGGTGAAGTAGCAAGCCCCAAGAATGTACATTTCGATGTGATCGAACATGATGGAATCTTCCCCAGCGACGACATACTGGAGGTGTCTATGAATGTCAGCCTCTGCGACTGCGATGGTAGGACGGTGTCGGAGATCCATACTCGTGACTCGGACGGAAAGCAGTGGAAACTGCGGTGCAATTCTACATGCATATTCGTGTCGTAATGTGTAGCCCGCTGGTTTTATCTTTCGCTGAGGGGAACTTCGTTTGCCCTGGGCCAGGATGCCTGGATTGTGCACATGTTCTTTCTCAGCTGACGTTAGCCACAATTGCCTCAGCTTGCAGGCTGAACTCCACACTTAGGGAATGATATCATCGTCGCGACGCACTCAGCATGGGGTCTAGGCTATAAAATGGGGTAGTCAGGGCGTGTGTTGGTGGATTGATAGGGTCCCGGAACAATGTCCAACTCCAGTTGCTCGAACTAATCTGGCAACAATGGGCCCGTTTGGTGGCTTCGAAATCAAGTTTCCTGTGCGTGCAATATCGCCTAGAGCAGCATAGCAATTTTGAACATGACTGATTTTAGGGGAGTGAAAATTTTAGAAATTGAGACTGTTGAACATTTGGACATCATGGGTGTTGACAAATATGCTGGTTCTAAATATCTGAAATGCTGCAGCAATTCAGGTTTGAAGTTGTAATCATCGTGAAGCCTGCCATCTTGACCAAGTAGTGGTTGGCTGGCTTTCCTCGAGACTTGTAATACGAGATGCAAGTCCTTGTACCGACTTGCAGGTGAAAACCATATCGTTCAACCATTGGCGCAACTGCTCGGAAGTGCAAATGCTTCGCCTGACTGGCATGCGCTGCTTTACACATCAAGTGTAACTTGAATTTGACTTAAAATGCCACTGCACACGGTGCGACAGGAACGGCTGTGTGGCCCCAGCAATGTTCTGATTTTGCCCCAACACATCACACAATGTAGAGGTTTGTTGCCCAACTTTGCACGCTGCCAACTTGCATAGCAGCAGGCTTGGTTTTTACGCCGTAAAAACTGATCGTATTTACGTTTTTACGCGTAAAAACTGTTTTTACGTTTTTACGCGTAAAAATGCGTAAAAATACGTAAATACAGCGTAAAAACTGCCCGGTGTACATAAGGACAGTACATACAGACTTACGGAATCCAGAGAGTGACAGCCAGACGCCCTGAGAGGGGCAGAAAACGAGTTTTTGTCAAACACCATCATCGCCCTTACCAAAGGCGAGGTGGACACTGTGTTATGGGTTCTGGATATGGCGGAGGACTGATCATTGTACCCAACTTTGATCGCGCAATCTGGGTGTCCCAGGGAGCCGTAAAAACGTAAAAATAGCCGTAAAAATAGGCCATTTTGCAAATTTACGTTTTTACGCGTAAAAACGTAAAAGTAAAAACGTAAACGTAAACGTAAAAACCAAGCCTGCATAGCAGGTTGACAACTCACCTCTATTGTGTTGGTTTGACGGCCTAGTACACTGATTCAAGGCTTCACTGTAAAGAAAGCTGCATAATGTACTACAAGAACCATGCCAATCCGAAAAACAGGGCGCCGGTGGGGCCCGGGGGCCATTGAGAGCGCGCAACCCACCGTACCGGCATGACCGTATATACGCTTTTGAATACGGGTCTTCGTTCCATGCACGCCAACTCTGTCTCAGCCTTCTCCTCCGCTGGCCCACTGCAGCCGTGCAAAACGCCAGGGAGCTGACAGGAGACCCAGCCGCCGAGCTTAACCATCCACCTGCGGCATCGAGGCCGCTTGCCGACTCCACACAATGCCCGACGGCCAAATCCCCTCTCCGAACGGACCGGGCGTAGCCGGCGACGGGAAGGCCGTCTACAGCGTCGTCGTTCTGGACTTCGGCTCCCAGTACACGCAGCTGATCGCGCGCCGAGTGCGGGAGATCGGTGTCCATTCGACGCTGCTTCCGGGCGACGCAACGGCGGTGAGGCCGCGTCTTCCGGCGAGATCCCGCGCTTTTTCCCGCGACCGCCGCCTTCCCTAATTGTCCCCCTCCCATCCACGCTGCAGGATCGCATTTTCAGCGCGGGCGCAGGCGCGGTGATCTTGTCCGGCGGGCCGCAGTCGGTGACGCAAGCCGGCGCTCCACGTTGCCCACCCGGCTTTCTCGATCGCTGCGCGGCGTCCGGCGTGCCCGTGCTGGGCGTGTGCTACGGCATGCAGCTGATGGTGGACGAGATGGGCGGGGAGGTGCGCCCTGCGTGCGAGGGGGGGGCGGAGTACGGGCGCATGGAGGTGGAGGCGTCCGAGGAGGCGGTGCTGTTCGCCGGGGAGGGCTGCAGCGGGAGGCAGACGGTTTGGATGAGCCACGGGGACGAGGTCGTGAGATTGCCGAAGGGATTTGCGCCGGTGGGAACCAGCGACCAGGTGAGGGAGGGCCGGGGTCGGACGGCATCGTTCTTGGCGTGAATGGGAGTCGCGACAATGCTTGTCGTGGGCTCGAAGACAGTGGATTGTTTGTTTTAGGGCGTGGCACAGTTTCTTGGGGATTGCCGCCTCAGGAAGGGTGTCCCTTGGATGGTCAATGCTGTGCAGGTGTCACGTTGAAAAGCTGCTCTTCCCTTACAGCTAAGACAGGAAAACCATAGCATGAAATTTCCAACAGTCTCCTGAAATCGACATTTTGCACTGGAGTCTTGGTAGAGGGCCCATTTGTGCACACAGGATATTTCTGTGTTTGTGCGCCGCAGGGCGTCATCGTAGCGATGGAGGATTCAAAGAGGCGGTTGTTCGGCTTGCAGTACCACCCAGAAGTTATGCATTCTGAAAAGGGCGAGGCCACACTCAAGCATTTCTTGATGGGGATCTGTGGGCTGAAGCCCAACTGGAGTATGCAAAATGTGCTGGAAAACAAGCTGAGGCAGATCGATATGCAGGTGGGCCCCATGCCATCGGCGCTTTGCACTCCACCGTTCTACTCCAATCAGATGGCTAGAATTTGAATGCCGACTCAGACCCATAAACTCCGCAGGGGCCCTTAGCTCTTGTGATGTGCATGTCATCATGACGTGCCCTGATCAGAGTGTCTCCCTAACCTGTAAGCAGCACTCCTATCTTTGTACGAGTGCGGCTTGCAGGCGATGCCACAGGGTCCACCATGATGTGACAATCGATTTGGCCTTGCCCTGATGAATGGCCATCACTGCCCTTGCACCCGCAATAAGGATATGAGTGCATTCTTCCAGCAAGGCAATTTTGTTCATTTCTTTTTATTCATTATTGTCACCTATACTACAATTTGGAAACTGGAAAAAAGATTGGGAAGGGCGACAATCGCTTGATAATGAATGCTGAAACGAAACAAAGCACAACCCTTGCACGTTCAACTCAATGATGGATGCTATTTTACCCATCGCATTTTTTGCTTATTGTTTGCTAATTTCATGCCCACAAGAAGATCCAAAGAAAACCTTAGTTACAGTGAATAGGTTGATGGGCAAGTCCCGTCATGGAAATGGATGATATGGCCTTGGACGAATGAGATCCATGGAATAGAATGTCCTCCTAAGTGTAGTTCAATGTCCATGCCTTCATTGCGGCCTTGGGATTTGTCCACATGGACCCCACAATGACCAGCGATTATTATCTTTTCACAGGTGGGCCCAGATGCTCATGCCATCTGTGCCCTTTCTGGTGGTGTCGACAGTGCTGTGGCTGCTGTTCTTGTTCACAAAGTCCTTGGGAAAAGGCTGCACTGTGTATTTGTGGACCATGGACTTCTCAGATACAAGGTGAGGACCCTCGGGAAGCACCCATGGCGATCTTGCATGTTTTGAACGTCTATTTGTGCATTCTGTGAGCTTGAAAGGTTGGAAACTAGAGCACATGTTCATGCTGTGGCTCACACCCCATACTCTTTGCTGAAAATTCATTCACAGACTTGCTGTATTGTTGTATTCGTTGTACAAGCGTTGAACACCCTGAAGGTAACGGGTAGCACTGCTGTTGCCTCGATGTGCCTTTCACAGTCATGTTAAGAAGGACCATTACTGTTTGGGCATCCATGTGGGTATCTGTGGGCATCTGTTTAAGCTCTTCTGTCTATATCGACGCCTAACAGCTGAACTAAGATGTCATCCCCCAAATCTAGACTATCTATTCAACTACAAGGTGGCTTTGCATCTTGGAGCTGAAACTGCCGCATTGGTTGTGGACCTGTAGGTTGTCTACACATGGTTGGGCTCCCATGAATAGCCTCCCATCTATAAACATGTTATTCCATGAGTTAAGGTTGTCGTGTGTAAAAGACACCTTTATATGGAAACTTAACCTTTGGGAATGCCATCCTGATCAATTGGCTAGGAGCGGGAGCGTGTCTGTGAGATGTTCAGCAAGCACCTCCACCTCAGCGTGACCACCATGGACCGCTCCAAAGAGATGCTTGCCAGGCTGGCAGGAGTCAAGGACCCCGAGGCCAAGAGAAAGGCCATTGGCGCTGAGTTCATCAAGGCCTTTCAAGACTTCAGGGATGATCTTGAGCAGCGGCAAGGCATCAAGCCAGAGTTCCTTACACAGGTGAGGTGGACGGTGCTGCCAACATTTCTGCGCTCATTGCAGAAAAAGCCTTGGGAATGTTGGCTTTGACATGGAAAAGCACGCTGTGGAAAAGAATGCAGCAATGTCCGAAACATGCTGGTGGTGGTTAGCTGATTGGCACAGCTGCACTCTGCCAGGGTACAAGGCGACATATATCATCTGGTGTGTTGTCCGATCTGCAAGTCTTTGATGCAAGGGTTGATTGTCTGTCAGGGCACTCTGTACCCTGATGTCATCGAATCCTGTCCACCACCTGGAACAGAACGCACCCACAGCCACACGATCAAGTCTCATCACAATGTGGGGGGCTTGCCTGAAGACCTGCAGTTTCAGTTGATCGAGCCGCTGAAGGAACTGTTCAAGGTGAGTGATGCATCTTGTGCCACTCTGGACCTGAGCACCAGGCCATACTGTTCTCTGACTGCCTTTTGTTCTAACTGCTGGCGAACAGCAACGGGCAGGCTTTGTGCAATGCTGTGAGCACGACTCCTGTGTATCTTTTGCACTGAGCAAGGGGGGGCAACAACATGCTGACAATGTGCCCAAAATTCGTCTTGCACGCCATGAAATTTTGAGGATCATCGATATGTGCATGCAACAGTACACTGGTGCGAAATGACGACCTTCAATGCTGCACACAAGTGGTATCGCTGCATGCAATGGCTTATGCTGGATTGAATATTCAGCACATAGTTTTAACCACTGAAATGAGAGGATGTGCGTGCCCCCCCACCTCTTGTTGCACTCCCATTGTCCCATTGTCCGCCTCTTTCTGCCAGTAAATGTTGTCTAAGAAAGCGATTTCTTTGCAAGACCATCATGGCCACCAACATCATGCCAAGGTTGAACCCTGCTTGTTGTCTGCTAATAGCGGGGAAATGATAGACGGTGTTGTGACTAGAATTGATTGAGTATTGTTGACAACTGAATGTGAAAAGAGATGACGAGGCATTAGGAATTTCACAAAGGACGTTGATGAACAGACTGAATATAAGGGACAGTACTCTTGCTGTCCCTTTGCCTCGGCTGCAAACCGCTGCCATGGACTTGAGCCTACGACCCCCGTTCAGGGATCGCCACTCCTCGATCCTGCCTGCCTTCGTCAACAGCTCCTGCGAATGCAGAATTCGTGTGATGCCATTGCCACTGCCAGTAATGCAACATGTGGTCGTTCTTCGGCGGCCTCCACCTGAGCAAGCTCTTGGATACCATGTGTCAATATTACGATGTGAAGGTCTCCAACTGAGGTGCAAGAAAACTGCACAACAGCATCGGGGCAACGCCATCGGGCTGCATGTTGGGATCTGACCGCCGTTCCTGTTTCGTGCAGGATGAAGTGCGGCAGCTTGGGAGGTTGCTGGGGGTGCCCGAGGAATTCATTAGACGGCACCCTTTCCCGGGTCCCGGGCTAGCTGTCCGCATCCTGGGTGACGTCACTATCGAAAACCGGCTGGATGAGCTCAGAGAAGTCGACGAAATATTTATTGAGACTGGAGATTGGCCATTTCACACAATTTTGTTATGTGACTTGATCGTGTCCACTTGCCGAAGATCGTCCTAATGGTAGTGTGAACCGCTGTAAGATTCGGCCAGATCATCTCAACGGTGTTGGGCGCGAGTTCTCGCCAGCGGGTGCAAGGCGCAGCCCAGCACTTGTAGCCGTGCTACTGTGGTGGAATCGTATCTTTGCTGCGCGCTGCTTTGGCAGGCTTCTCTGCAGATGACATTGTCATAAATAGAACACACAGCATATGCGTTCGACAGCCATGTCCCGCCCTCGTCCTCCCCCTTTTGCCATAAGCCCTCATCGTGTTTGTGGCTTTCAACATCGCAGGCGTTTTCCGTGTTCTTGCCTATTCGATCTGTGGGGGTCCAGGGGGACCAACGGACACATTCGCACGTGATCGCCCTTCGTGCGGTCACCAGCATGGACGGCATGACGGCGGACTGGTACCCCTTCGAGCCCAAGTTCCTGCAGACCGTGTCCAGCAGAATATGCAACAAAGTCCGCGGCGTCAACCGTGTGGTGTACGACGTTACCAGCAAGCCTCCTGGCACGATTGAATGGGAATAAAGATGAGGTCCTATTGCACGACCAAGCCGCAATTGTAGTGATCAAATGCGACGAATATTTAGCCACTTGCCTGCTAGGAGACATCTGCGGTCTACGTGCCAATGCAGTTGCATTTAGGCAAGGAAATTGTCTGGCGTTTCGACGCGGTTCTCTAGTTAGGAATCCAACTTAGGGATGGTTCGACCTGGATGCTTTTGGTTCAGGTGTTTGGAAGGGGTGGGATTTTGGGTGTGTGAAACGATTGCAGAAGGTGTGTGGCACCTTCCTTAAGCAGTTTGCGAGGGCAGTGGGCGCTGTTTGGTGGTGACGGTGAAGCTGTTGTGCCGCCTTGCTGCTGCACATGGTGTGACGTTATGTTGTGGTGGACTGACGTACAGATCGCACGCCAGTGATTTCCTCGCGTATCGCGCATGTTCGTTGATCTAATGGCTGTTGAGTTGCAGCGCATGGTTGGCCCTGGACAGCACTCATGGCGCTGAAATTGTGCTGAATCAAATGGCGCACAAAAAGGGAACTTCTTTTATGGCGTTTGGGATTCCTGTTATTTGTACAATTCTTATCACTGATATGTGCTTGTCTGTAACAATATCACAAACAGGCTCTCGTTGTGCTGTGGGCAGTATTCTTCTATTTTCTCACGTGTGCAGGAGAAGCCCCTCGCCGCTTCCAAAGAGTAAGACCAAAGTACGGATAAGGGCCAAAACACCGCAGCAATATTGCGCCGATGCAAGCGCTAAGAACACATGAGCACTTCATTCCTGATGGCTTGCCAACCCCAGGATGCCGTGTCCAGCTTGCTCGCAAGCAAGCAGATGGCCTGGTATGCGCACGCAGCCTCGCCACCGTTGCTCCACTTTCAAGGTAGTATTTTGTTGAGGCGGATTGTTGGGTCTTAACAGTTTTCGTTTTATGGCTGTTTCGTAAATTTTTCTACTAGTTACGGAGCCCTGGTGGCACCCCCTCGCAGGATGCCAGGACAGATTCTGGACCAGCCCTTTGGCCGCATTTGCGTCTCATCGTACACGCCCGATCACCTCGATAAGACTCGTTCCAACCGTCTCGTTGCCTCGCCGTGAGACAATCTGGAATTGCATGCACGTTCCAATTAACAGCGACAGCGTCCCATTCCGCGACAACCTTCACTGAAAGCCGTTTGCCCTGGTTGTGACACCGCACGTGTGAAATGCAAGATGTGGTACACGGTGCACGAAGTGGCTGCGTGCAGCCACACGGGGTGGCCCTGGTGCAGCTGAATGCGCACCGGTGGTCGGACAGCATGCGTTGAGGACGGGGCAACTGATACGGCGGGATACGCGAAAAATGGTAAAATGCGGCAAAAAAACTTTGGAACCATTTCTCGATCCGTGCGTGTCATCCTTGCGCAGGGGCCATGCTAATCTTCTCTGTATCGTTCCAATTTTAACAGATGTTCCCGAGGGAACACTTACATAGGCCGCTGAAGGTATATATTCTGTTGCTGGCGCCACCCCTCTTAGCTGCTCGCGGGATCTCCCCTCCCTGCCGTCCTTGCTCCGCAGGGGCGCCAAGGCCAGGTCGAGCCTCCACGACCAGCGGCCTCTGTCGTCGCGATGTCGCACCGTTCCTCGACTCAACTGGGGAACTCGGCGCGGGAGCATTCCCGATGGGCAGGCGCCACCGCGCCCCTCGCCGCCTCGTGCGCATGCCGCCGGCGACGGGACGGCCGAAGGCCCAAAACGCGGGCAGCGGCTGCGGTCGAGGCGGAGACCAAGAAGGCAGTGGTGCGGATCGGCACGCGCGGCAGCCCCCTGGCGATGGCGCAGGCGTACATGACGAGAGACCTCCTCAAGGTGGGCCGCCCGCCCATCTGCGCGAATCGCTGCATGGCGACCAGCGCACCTTGAAATCGAAGGGGGTGCAAGGGTGGTTGTGGCGGGATTGATTTGGAGGAGGCAGGTCTTGTACTGTTCTTCTGCAGCCGCAGCGGCAGCAGGCTTGGCTCTGTAGCGCTTTTGCTTCTCCTCCCGGACCCGTTGCGGGCACCAATGCCGTGCGAGATGGCCACTGCGTGATTGTGCTTGTCAATGGCGCTGGTCCTCAGGAGGCGTTTCCCGAGCTGTCGGAAGAGAACGCGCTGGAAATCGTCATCATCAAGACCACGGGCGACAAGATATTGAGCCAGCCGCTGGCCGACATCGGCGGCAAGGGGCTGTTCACGAAGGAGATTGATGAAGCTTTGCTATCCGGGAGAATAGACATCGCGGTGCACTCCATGAAGGTGGGATGACGCCTGCTGCATTGGGGATTCTTTTTTTCCCGTTTGCTTGTGAACAAAGTTTGTTTGCACATCACAGTTCAACAATCCTTGCCAAATTGGTGTGGGCATTGGCCCATTTCGGCCACTACACAGTCACTTTGCGATCCTGCGATTTGAACTTTTTTTTGGCAAGTTGTTCGTGTCCAAACTGACTCCCAGGAACGCAACTGTTGCCAACTGTTCCTCCGCAGCAAGAGCTGGCCGGGTTCTTGTTGCTGTTGATTGTTAACCAGTTTCAAACATGCAGTCCCAGCATTGGCCGCTCCACATGGGTGCTGTTGCTTTTGTTTGTGGCATTCATTGACCATCTAATTCTGACTGTTCCTAAAGGACGTCCCAACATATCTGCCAGATGGGATGATCCTTCCCTGCAATCTTGAGCGAGAGGACGTGCGCGATGTCTTCATCTCAGCTGTCGCAGGATCCCTGTCAGAGCTGCCTGAGGGGGCCGTGGTTGGCACTGCCAGCCTTCGAAGGCAGGCACAGATTCTACACAAGTACCCATACCTCAAATGTGAGAACTTCCGTGGCAATGTTCAGACACGATTGAGGAAGCTTAAGGAGGGTGTGGTGGATGCCACGATGCTGGCGTATGCAGGGTTGAAGCGTCTGGACATGGAGCAACATGCCACAGCTATCCTGGACTTTGAAGAGATGCTGCCAGCTGTAGCCCAGGTGACTCAGCAGCCTGATCCCACTCATTGCAAAAGATGTGACAGATCTGTGCTGTTCCAAACAATCCGTATCTGATGTTGTTCGCAACGGCAGTGTGCAAGTTGGTATGTCTACAATCAGGGGTGTTTGTACTGCAGTGTTACATTTAATGTCTGGTGTCAAGTAGTCGTTATGCCTGTGTGCATTAATCTACGCATCAATGCACTGTCACAATCCTTGTCTAGATGGGCATGGATCGATTCCATTATGTGCCCTATGTTGCCGATGGGTCCCGCCGGGGCAGTTGGAGGCGGTGACTGGGATTGACGTCGACCCGAGTGGGTAATGTGGCTTGTGTAGCTGCATTGCAGCCGCTGCATTAGCTGTGGTGCTGCCAGAATGCTGGTTTTTTCCTTTCACATGGATGCTGGTTGCAGAATGGACACTCAAGGAAGTTTGCTGGAAGTTCCAGGGGTGCTTGTGGCATCATGTGGCTTGCATCTATTGCTCGGCACTCTGATTCTTGGCACCACTCCATGTTCACATTGTTTGATATTCTGAACCAATACCTATCCCATTACTTGCGCAGTTCAGCGGACTCAGTCTGACTTTAAAAGGATTTGACAATCTTGTCGATGACAGTGCCAAGGACGTATACCTTGCCCTATTTCGTTGCATCCCTCCTTGAGATATGTTCTGAGCGTGAATCTTGGTTCCATGCAAGGCACATTCACACATTTTGTTGGGTGACAAGTGCGGTAGAAAGAGAGTGATTGGGTGTCCAATTAGAACCCTTTCTCCTTCCTATTGCACATGAGAATGTGCATGTACTGAACGATGCCTGTGTTACCTGTTCAATTATCAAGACATTTGGAATATGCAAAGTGCTGAAATGAAGCCAAAGAAAACAGACCAAGAACTGAGTTTCCTTTGTCCATTTCTTAGGGTGCGATCGGCATCGCCTGCCGTGAGGGCGATGAATCCATGGGCGCCTACCTGGCAGCCCTCAATCACGAGCCCACCAGGGTTGCCATCGTGTGCGAACGGGCATTCTTGGCAGCACTGGATGGATCGTGTCGAACACCCATCGCAGGCCATGCACGCCAGGCCGACGATGGGTCCCTATCCTTCAAGGGCAATGTTGCAACGCCCAACGGGAAGAGGCTGCTGGAGACGTCACGGAGTGGTGCCTTCAATGAGGAGGAGGCGGCCAAGATCGGCGACGATGCAGGGCAACAGCTCAAGGCGGAGGGCGGACCAGACTTTTTTAATTGGTAGCGAGTGGATGGGGTGGGCGTGGGGGTGAGCAGGGAATTGGGTGGTGTATTTACATGGGTGGCATCGTGGAGATGGACCCAGGTGTAAGAGAGGGTGAGTGCTGGGGGTCTTCCCCACGCCAGCAATTCGTTTCTGGACGCCTTTGTGTGTGGGTGGCAAGTTTCATGACGATCTTGATACATGACAGGGGCGTATATGTCGTGTGTTGTCGATTTATGGAACACGAACATTTGAAACGCTATGAAAATGTGTTGGAAGGCTTCCAGCATGCAGTCTTTGCTGGTGCCGCACCTGCCAATGTGATGTCAGTCATGACGCCTCCACTCCTGTTTCGCAGTGTCATCCACCTCTGCGACTGCACATCTGGTGTTGCAACACACGTTAGCATAGCTCTGCAAATGTCGAGGACGGCAGTGATCGTGCATTTGGTGCAGAGCCTGCACAACTTGTCTGCACTGCAGACAAATGCTAACTCAGGGACATTTTGGCTACATTTCAGCAAGGGAGTCACGGAAACGATTCGATCAAAACCTGGTGTGCATGTTTTCCGCTCAAAACAGGATACAAGGGATTCTCCCTTTCCAACCACCTTGAGGGCACTGACTGTATACAAGTCCACCCCATTGCGCTGGTGGATTGTTTCCCTGGGGGCAGTCTGCAGAAAGCTGGCAGTACTTTAATCTCCTTCTCATCTTCTTCAATGGCTGGCATGCTGCTGCCGAAATGCCTAGTTGCAAGTTGGCTTCAAGAGACAATGCGGTCCCCTTGCACCTTGTAGGTGGTTATAGGCGTGCACACATCCAAGAACATCCGGTAACATCCAAGTTTCTCTCTCCCTCATCCGTTCATTTTGGAAGCCCCCACCTACTTTTCTTCCTTTGCCGCTCTGGTCTATTGGCACATAGGCGAGAACCGCGCCCCAACAAGCCGAAGAACACGTCCAAACTTTGCTGCAAGCACCTGGTCAAGATGTAAACCCCCTTTTGTGTGGAACTCTTCATGTCTGCGGTTCAGTGTACACCTGCCACCAAAGACCCCACAACCATCGACATAGCTCTCAAGAATAGTTCGCTGACTCAACAACGCAAACCGATGCCCCCAAAGCTACTAGCAGCCGCGCCAAGCCGGCTTCGCCGCAACTTCAGCTCCGTCCCATCACATACTCTCGCCAATGAAATGACCCTTCTTCCCCCGTTTACCCTCCATTTTTGGCGCACAGCAAAGGCAAACACACACCGTGGTGCCTCGCACCACCGCTTTCGCGGCCAACCTCCGCCCCCCCGCCCGTGCCGAACGCCGCGGCGCCCGTCGGCCATCGCCCCGGGCGCGATGGGCAGCGTGGAAGGCCCGACGCCGGCCAGGCCCAAGAATCTCGCCGAGGTCTTGTCCAGCAGCTCGCGCGTAGTCACTCCCAGCAAGTGCGTCGCCGTCCAGCGGTACGTGCATCTGGCCAGGATGCTGCTCAATCAGGTAACACGACGGCCATGTGCAGAACCAACTTTCGACAGTGCCGCGCCTGCTGGGCGTCCCGGCCTTTGCGGCAGTCGGCGCGAATGCGGTTTCTGAGGCCGTTTCTGCGTGATGGGCATGGCGCAGGCCACAAAATACGAGAGCGTGGCCAACCAGGAGCAGCAGTATGTCATGTTGCTGCGGTTCGCGAGGTGAGTGTCGGGGATCGTTGCCAAAGTTCCAGGGGGTGCTTGTCACCGCGTGCGCGGGCCATGACGTTGTCGCCTTCTTTTGTGCAGCCTTATTGTTGAGACCATCCCGAAACATCCTGAATACCGAGCCTCCGACAAGGTGTACGCGAGAATGAAGCAGGTAGGTGTTTCTTGTGGCATCCAACACACCAAACAGTTTGCAGCCCTCAGTTTGGGGGCAGATTTCAGAGGGCCAACACTGAACGGGCGCTGGCCAGCGGAAACCCCCCACGGTGCATCACATGGCTGCAGAAACGATTGTAATATCCATTTGGCCGCCACTGCACATTGGCAATATCTCCAGGCTTCTGGGGGCAGGGTGTTCTGCAGCTATGATCGCTGCCCTCCGCTTTTCCCAAGATACTATGGGTTATTGCTGTCTTCTCCTTGTGCTTGGTGCAGTCTAAATTTGACCTTGCAGTTTTCGACTACTTGGAATGTGACCCTGTACGTACTGTGAAGGCTTCATTGCTAAAGTGAATTCTTCTCCATTTGTGTATACAACATCGAGCTCATCCACATACCAGAATTGAAGGTGTGTGGGTTGGGTCTGCAGCAACTGTACGAGTACTACCTTCCCAAACTGGAGACTCTCAAGGTCGTGCTCTCCCTGAAACAAGTCATGGATCACCCTCCGCACCCTATCCAGCCACGCCCCGAGGGCGTCCGCCAGATTGGCACATCAAACCTGCCAGAGTTAAATTGGGGAGGCGCAGGAGCTGTGGGTGCAGCGGCTGGTCTCGCTGCCACCACAGGACTCTCCGATTGGGGAGGCATGGCGGCCCCTGCTGGGCAGCCCAGTGTTGGGGGAATGTTACCACCACCAGACATCAAGATAAATTCAGCCCACTTGGCGAAGAGTAAATCACTGAACCGCCATGGCCTCTTGGGTGATTCATTCAAGAGCGATGCTGTTTCGGGAGGTGCTCCAGTGACAGCTGCTCCGATGGGAGTGCAGTACCCATCCATTGATGCTCCCCCAGCCCCTGCAGTGCCATCAGGAGCGCCTTCGGCTCCTTCCCTTGATGGACAGGTGCAACAGGCGTCCTTGATGGATGCGGTGCCCTTGTACAATCCCTCAGCGATAACTACACCTGGTGACATGCCCTCAGTGCTTGGAGGCCCACAATTGGAGCTCCAGCTTGGGCCTCAGGAGATGCAGGTGAGCAAGCAGCCTTTCTGGGGAGAGGAGACGGGCTTTCCCCTTTTCAGACTCACCAGAACGTTGTGAGCTGTGGGGAATGCTGCTGGCTATGGCACTGTAATTTCATGACCTTCGCTGGCCAGTGTATCATTGGAGCCCACTGAAGTACTGTTCTTGCTGTGGGGATGTCATTTGTCCTTGTGTGCAGTGAGCCTGCACGTCCTCATAGTGAGAACCCTTGACAAGTTCTTTGATATTCATACAGTTATGATTGCTAAGAAGAATGGATAGATTTTCCTCAAGAGGCACAATGTGCCTGTTGG